TTTGGTGCTTTTTTCTGCTTCTTGGATGACGTCACCTAATTTCTTAATGTAGCTTTCTGCATTGTTTGAAATTGTATCAAAAAATCCTAGAATTTCTTGCCTACTAAGCTAAGAAGGCAATATTCCATTAGTAGATGCTTGCTTTGATAGACTATTGCATAAGAGTTTCCCTGGATAAATGTGATTTTAAATCCTACAACTTAATGTTTCATATACAGAAAAGAGCTCAAATTGTAATTAATTGATTAATAATGATACTACCTTATAGAGTTGCTATGAGGAATAAATATGTCAATGCACATAAATAATGAGAACAGTGCCTGGCATTCAGGAAGTACTTAAGCAGTGTTTACTATCATTCTTGCTGTTGTTTTTCCAGAGTGGTCCACATAAACCACTGGGACTAAAGAGTCAAGAGTATCGCCTCCTTTTTTCTGGAATATTATCTTATTACCAAAGCTAGATTCAGTGAACCAGAGATGGATAAGAAGTATGACCTGAAACTTCTGTTAATACAGATTAATGGCTGCATGCTAAGGTCAGTGAGCAAAGCTGAGCAGCTGTCCTCCTTGAGTGAACCTAGCCATCCCCCTGCAGTCTCAACTCCTCCAATCTCATGACAATTCAATCAAATGATGTTATAGAAATGATGTTTTGATAAATTTTAAAAGTATAATTTAAAACTGGATAGAAGCTATTTAACTGCAGAAAAACCTCCCCTAGGTGAAGATTGAACATTCAATAAATGATAAATTTTAAAAGCTGCTAACCAAATGTTGAAGTTTCAAAAGACCAGATGATATCATAACATGATATATTTAGTCTTGTAAATCTTCATGTTTGTTATTATTATAAAATTTCAAAAGGGAAAGTTGGGCATTTTATAGAGCATAGAGCATTATACTTTTAAAACAAACAAAGCCAAAACAGCAAAAGGCAGAATTCTAGCTTTGGGCCAAACAATTAATTTCCCTGATATTCAGTTATTTTAAAACAGACATCATCATCATAATAATATCCTGTTTATTTCACAAAATTTGGGGTACAATTAAGTAAAATAATGTCTGTAAAACCATTTGCATGATGTAAATTGTTCTGCAAGTGCATTATTATTTTTAGTTTATTTGTCTTGAAATGTTAGAATGTTCATAAGTATGAGCACATGGCCAGAGGTATGCATGTACATACACAGATGGAGGTTAATGTCTAATTCGAGTTCTTAGAAAGGAGCCAGCAAATTATGGTATGTGCTGTAATTACCTTCCTTCTTTGCGTCTATTTTTCTCTAATACAGTAATGTTAAATTTGCAGAAAGAGAGGGAACTAAAATTATGGAAATTATAGTACGTGATTCTAACAGAGTATGCTTACAAAGTTTGAGGATAAGGTCAAGAAAAGATTACCATCTGAAATGTAATCTCGTAAAAATAAATTAGAAAAAATTAATGACCTTAATTGTCTGTATCATTGACCCACCCTAAGAGACTTTGGAAATAATGTTGCTGCTAAGAGCAAGGTGTATCTCAAATTCAATCATGTGAACTGGGTGGAGAGCTATGAGCTATGCAGTCGTTTTGCAACTTGTCTTGCATGAGATAAAAAGGACTAATTTTTTAAAATAAAAAAACTCTAAAATTTTCAAATAATGGGTAAAATTATTATCAGATAGAAACATCATTACAGCACAATTTCTTAAAGAGAACTAAAAAAGAACACCTATATCAGAGAATAATGGTAAGATTTCTGGCCCTGTTTCTAAACAAACTAGTGATGGATAAATTAGGATACCAATAGGAAACATGCCTATCAGTATACCTGTATTTATCTTTGGCTCAGGAAATACCCTCCTGGTGATCTACCCTGAACAGAAAAAAAAATCATAGATCAATACATATCTTCTTCATTTTCCTCATTAAACATTGAACACTAAGGAATATTTTTTATTAAAATTTCCTTTTACATCTAGGTCAATAATTCTCTTTACTGTATGTAAGAACAACCTAAACAGTTTCTAATACATGCCCATTTCCAGGCCATGACTAGATTCTAGGTTTTCAGATTTCCAAACTGGCCTCTCTTAAGCATTACATTCTTGTCATCTCTGAGAAAAATGAAAAAGTCAGGCATCTGAAAAGCCATAACTTAGACCAGCTCCAGGCTCTTGAGTGATTCACCAACGAACCACAGTCTATAAGGGCCACCTGATCATCCAGGTGACCTTTTCTCTCCTGGCCCATCAGTACCCTTCAAAACCTTGATTAATACTGCACATTCTCAATTACCCAGAATTCTATAGGGTAAATTAATTGACAAACGAAATGAAAATTTGTTCTGATGTCCCTTTTACAGACAACTTTCTAAATAAGTGCTGCTAAGAAGTGTAACCGTTTGGAGCAAATAATTTCAATGACTATTCTCTGCACAGTTGAAATTTTTGCAAAGCACATGCCAATGTTTTATGAGACAGCAATAACATAATGGAAAACTAATAGAGAGGAAGCAAAGTGATTTACAGGGTCTTTGAAAGATATTATTTGTATTTAGGGCTCCCTCTCAAGTTTCAGATTGAGTGCTTTAAGATTGTATAACCTAAAAGGGAAGAAAAACTTGACTGTTTCTTCAATCTCAGTTCCTTTCTTCAATAAGATGGGCTGTGCATTGGAACCTTAATCAAATATCCAAGATATGACTCCTGACTCCTCACTTTTCCTCACTGAGAGAAATTGCTACATTACAGTTACATCTAGTTAAGTTTGCTGCTTACTTTCCAAGGAATTCGGAAAATATACAGAGATCCAGGGAAGAGTCACATCTGGCCCCTATATCACACTTAGGAGAGTAATTGAATGGTAACTTCTGCTTTTACCCCCCTGGGGATTCTCTGCTACTGTACTGTGGGATGCCTGTTGGTGTGCCCTACTCAGTCATCCTAAGACATATGCCTAAGGTATTTGTCATCCGTTATGACATACACATCTCTTAGCAAGCAGCAAGTATCCAAGTCAGCTCTCAACATAACGCTGTGTAGACTGCACTGCACAACTCCAAGCGGTGCTGCTCACACAGTGATGTGAATGGAGCCCCTTAGAATAGTGCAGCTGGCAGCCTGATTCAAGGTAGGAGCTCCTTTAACATTTTATCCTGGAGAGATGGGAGAATATTCCCATGACAATGATGGCAATGATAATGATGATGAACACTAACGATGATGGCCCAAATCTGTGAATACCTACAATGTGCTGATTACTGTATAATTATTTTAAAAAAAGAATGACCAAAAGAAACTGATTAAATATCAGACTTTGAGGGACCTCTGCTAGGAACCATTATTGTTTTCTTAAAGCATGGGGTAAATGGAATGAGGTTAAATTACTAGAAAATGACAGATTTTCTTCGCCAAAAAAGGGTGGGATGGAATTATGCATAAAAATATAAGTAAATATTGTAACCTAATCTAGTACTAAATTTGGACTTTGGAAGTTCTTCTATTTCCTCCTTGTGAATTTATAGCAGTACCAGGATAAAGCCATAGGGAGGAAAAGCTCTTCTCTCATAGGTTTTGAAGATTTAAGATATTTACTCATAAGTGATGGGTTTCTTGAGAGATTTGAACAACAAATTCAAATCTAAGTACTAAAATTGGTACAGAAGTTTTGTAAATAATCCTCCAAATCATACAGCAATTGAAATCATGACAAGCTAAATTAATCACAAGAATGCAAACATTTTTAAACAACTGTTACAGAGTCTTGGTCTACACTTTAGCAATAACAATTTCTGCATTGGGTGGAACACAGAGGCCACTAAGATGAACTCAACCTAATGACTAGAAATCCACACAGGATTGCTTCCAACCTAGTAAAACATAGTCATCAGTTTCTGATTTTTGGTTCTCAACCCCCTCCCCTAATCTGTGAAATCCTTCTATAAATGAACTTTATATAGAATCCTTCTATAAATAAATTCTATAAATGAAAAAAACCTTTGCTTTTAACTGCTTTTATCCTTTGATTTCTTTTCTAAATCCTCATGATGTGACTTTTCCAAATACTTCCTTTAAGTGAAAAATAAGTGTCTTTGGTTAAAATCCCCACCACTCCCGTGTTGTTATATAATGTCAAGGCATTGAATAATTCATCACAAGAGATCATTTTATTTAAATATTGAGAATAATATAAAATTGTATTACAATGAAAAATACTGGCTTGCTATCTTAATGGTAGCGATTATGAATTCCATTCCTGAAATAATGATGCCTGTTTTTAACAGAAAATCATTTCACCAATGCTTCCAGGCAATTTCAAAAACTTAACATAAGATCACTGTCAAAGGCCCAGGACCTGAATAATACATTCCTACATTACTGCGCAGAATCTATCATATCTTAAGGGCTAATTTTTTACTACAAAATCTGGATCTCAATCTGTACATTTATAGAATAACTTTTTCAAGTGCTGCTCTAGAGTTCTTAAGCAAATTAATGGAGAAATGCACCTCAGATGAAACCTGCAACCTCCCCAGGAATGGGAGGAAGTCTTTATATCTACATAACATTCCAGCTGAATCCAACTCCACTGAACGCAGTACTCAGCCTTTTCTGGTTTAAATATCTATACAAGTGATGATAAATGCTAAACTGGTGTCTTAAGGATGATCAACCAGAAATTAACTCCTAAGCTTTGCTCAAATGCTTTGAAGACTACAGTTTGTCTTCTTCCCTTCCTTGGCTAAGAAACAGATATATTGTTTTAGTCATTACACCCTAGAAGACGACTACTTAAATGTTAGGAATTTGGCTTTGAGAGGTCAATCTAGTTTGCTAAGCATATGACCTTATTTTTAATCAGTGGCTGTTGAGACAATATCCTAGATGTAGAAGTGACTCATGAAGTATGTAGGAATCATGAATAAGAGAGGTTTGCTTTAAACTGGAGAACAGAGAGGTGTTGAGATGGTGAATTAGAAACAAAGATCAGGAAGGACAAAGTACAGTGACTTACCTCTAATACTTTGGTCAAATTGTTAAATAGAGCTTGTCCAGCACTGACTTTATATTTAACACCTCTGACTGTGCCATTTTTGCTTAAAATGTTGACTCTTCTTGTACCAAACCCCTTCTCGCTGGCAGCCCTTGCTAACACCAGCAAGTTATCCTGGTCATTCTCCTGCTCGTCCCCTTCCGATCCTATGTGGCCATTCTGCTGTCCATCAGACTCACTGAGTCCATCTATGCCACAGATACTGGCACATTCAGAATCCAGAGAGCCTGCCGGTCGCCCATCTTCATATACCTCCTTCAGAACTCGCCCACTGTGAGATGACGCGATCCGAAACCGGACTTTCCGTGACCTGTCATTTTCTGGCTTCATCTCCCTTTTCAGCATGGTCCCATCCACATAATAAGCTGTTCACATAATTCTGGTTCCCTGGTTACTGCATTAGTCCACTTTCCATATAGCAATACCAGAGCTTAATTCTAGTGACAGCAGCACTCATATGAAACTAACATCAAAACGAAAGAAGATTCCCAAGAACTTACAGTGCATCTCTGCTATTAATAATGAATGTGTGTGTGTGTGCTATGGTTACCTTTAAACTAAAACCTGCAAAGTGATCCCAGCCTTTAAATATTAAATAGCCATGGTGGAGGCTTTAGCAAGACAAGTGCAAGAAAGTAGCATGCAATGAAACAGAAAATAAGTCTGGGGCAAGGAAATGAAAGACTTGGACTTTGAAGCCAGTGGTGAGTGTTGAAAAGGATCTTAGCAGCAGAAATACCTCTAACAGCTCAGAATGGAGACCAGGGATAAAATATGGAATCAAATGTGTAGGATGGGAGGTGTCATAGTCTTCTCACAGTGCTTATTCCTTCTGTCTTTCATGCTCTTTAAAAAGGGCAGTGAACATATTACATGCCTGCATAGAGCTATCAATATTAGCTCTTATTAAATCATCAGTTAGACTTCATCCATATTGTATACGATGAATTTTCAATCTACACCTTCATCTTCATGCACAAGTAGTTTTACTGAAGAATAGCTTTTTAACAGGTTATAACAAGGAATATCTTTTCTTTTGTTGCTTTCCCACTTTTGCTAGCAGAAAACACTCCTCTCTTTGACAAAGGGAAAGGTTTTGGAAAGGAAACATGGAACAGAGAGGGAAGAATGGAAAATCCTCCAAGCCAGCCAAATCCGCCAAAGTAATCCAGGTGATCAACACTGATAAATATCATATCCAAATCACCCATGCATAGAGAAGGGTCTGCCTTACGCTGTGCTCAGTGGATTTTCTGTCACTTTGGCAAGCACCTGAAGAAGCTCCTAAGATACAAGGACATATTGGAACTTATACCATAGTAAGTGCCCCAACCTGTCTGAAACTCCAGAGGGAGGATACTCAGCTGGCTCTCATACTGAGTTTCAAGCTTTTTTTATCTTTGTAAGTCTTTACCTGATTATAAACTCAATTTATACTTACTTCAGAAAAAACAGCTTAAAGTTGAAAATAAAAGTCACAACTAACGTCACCAGAGATGTTAGTAATTTTGTGAAATGTCTTCCAGTGTGTATGAAGGTGAGATGCTCTGATGCACACATAACTACATTGCTCAGCCTCCTGCATTTAAGGGAGAGGAAGCAAATGCTTAGCTTTTGCCGAGGGGACGTGAGCAAAAGTGACGTGTCATTTGTGGGCCAAGGCAGTTGACAGACAGTGTCCTGTCCATGCTATTTCTCTTCCCACCTGCTACCTGGACGGCGCCAGCAATCTTGTCATATGCTGAGCTTGTCAGAATCACAGAGAAACTCACAGCCACGACCACTGCATTGGGCTACAAATAAAAGGAAGTATATGCTAGTGTAAGAAGATATGTGCCCTGATGTATAATATGCCCTAGATATTTATAATTCACACACCTGTCTTAAGCTAAAATAAAAAATTAAGCTTTTCTCTTCAGTGGATAAATCTTTGTAATTCATTTTTCATTCAGGCAATGAGTATCCCACAATCATCTACTGAGTGCCACCCAAGAGTAAGACATAGCTGGCGACTATAGCAAATATAAAGATATATAAAATTATGTCCCATACCTTCCATTGGTAACATAATGCTTAGACAAAATAGCTATAGTTCAACACAGTGTATTTTAAGCACATACAGAATCCCTCTTTCTTGAAATAACAAAATTTCTAGTCATCGCCAATAAAACATTACGATCGCTATTCTCAACACTCTCCACTCTCATTTTGGTTACAATTTGTTCCCAGCTACTCAATGTGAACGCAGCACTTTCTAACTACTCCACTTGCCACCTTTTCCCAGTATCAGTTTATTATTCCCTACTTTATAATTGCTTTGCCAGTCTAGCATCCCCCCCTTGAGCAAGAATTTCCTTCTTTTCCTTCAGAGGTATTCTTACCATCATTTATTCATTTAACAATATTTATTGGGCACCTACTAAATGTCAAAAAGTTGCTGGATCTATGCAGGTGAATGTAATAGGCATGATCCCTGCCTTGAGAGTTAGATAACATTCAATAAACAAATAAAGATAATAATGAAAACTGTAACAAGCATGACCAAGTGAAAAAAAGTGGATATAATCAGAAATGATATAAGGGAGCCTACTTTAGAAAAGTCACAGTAAGCCTCTCTGAAGAGAAGACATTAAACTAGGGTCTAGCAAAATTAGAAGAGATTGATTGAGGTGGGAAGGAGTAGCTGGAGATAGTTCCTAAACTTCAGTTGCAAGTGAAAAGGCCCTGAGGCAGAAAACAATAGGTTCGTTGAAAGAACTAAAAAAAGACAGAGTGGCCAAAGACAAGTATAACTCCCATTCTACAAAGCTCTTCTCAAAAGAGGGCAAGACTAGCGAGACCTTTCCTTCCTAACCTAACCCTTGATTTATGCTACCCCTCAAAACATGAACAAAACCCCCATTAACATGATAAGCCATATTACCAATACAGAAATATTTCAAGTTTGTTACCAATGGGCATCTATTTATTTAAAACAGAAAGTTAAAAATTCCGGAAGCTATAGAGCGTCAAATGTTTCATTAACCAAACTAGAACTACTTTGGAAATTACCATGAATGATGTATTCAAAGAAAAAAATACTCCTTGTTCAATTCCCAGTAGAAACAATAACCTAGCAGCTATACCTAGGCCTGGATATTTCTTGTTGGCATTAGTTTTTTAATCAGAACATCTAATTATTTCCTTATTTGCAGAGAAAGTATGACATAAAAATATAATTATTCTTTTACTCATCTTGTCTCCAAATATTGCCCCACATACTATTCTGTGTGTGATTATCACTGCATGGTGAGAAGTAATTTTAACCATATTTCTAGCATTTGGAGCATAAGTTTTTAATCCCTTGGATCACAGTAAATATGTGCAAAATGTCTCCATTTGCTGCTACTTTACAGCTATCATATTCACTACTTTATTTTTTGGCCTTGCAGAAATATTGCCAGTCGTTGGCAAGGTAATGGTCTTTTCTCCAGCAACACTTGTCCCTGGAGAAGCAATAAATCATGACTCACTCCCCAAGTGCTGTTCTCAGAACTTCTGTTTGGATGGAAAGAACCAATCAATTTTTATTTTCTAACTACATTGGTGATTAGAAGGGAAAAAAAAAGATTTACTAACCATCAGTAAAATAGGAAAAACAAGCTACCCCTGAAACTTTTCAGCTTATAGAATATTGAACTTTTCTTAACACACATGAATTTGCAAATCAAAATTCACAGCTCAATTATTCATTTGAAGGGCAGAGAACTTCTAATCAGAAAAGAAACTCAGTGCATTAAAGAAAATATTCTTTGAAAACAGGACTATTATTTTATTATATAACGAGAAAGATGGATGATTTCTTAGTTTATAGATTAGTGGTTAAGAATGGGGGCTGTGGGTGTACACAATGCTGGGTTTAAACCTTGGATATGCCACCCCTAAGTGACCTTGAGCCTCAGTTTCCTCATCAGTCAAACAGTAGTTTTTATTGCATAGAATGTTTGGCAAGATTGACTAGAATGATATATATGAAGTGCATTGAATGCTGATCGACAGAGGGTAGCTATAAATCCCAAGTTACTTAAAATAGCTAAACATACATATAGTCATCCCTAGGTATCCTGGGGGATTGGTTCCGGGACCCCCATGGTTACTAAAATCCATGGATGCTCAAGTCCCTTATTAAATGGCATGGGCGGGGGGGCTTCCCTGGTGGCGCAGTGGTTGAGTGTCCGCCTGCCGATGCAGGGGACACGGGTTCGTGCCCCAGTCCGGGAAGATCCCACATGCCGTGGAGCGGCTGGGCCCGTGAGCCAGGGCCGCTGAGCCTGCGCGTCCGGAGCCTGTGCTCCGCAACGGGAGAGGCCACGACAGTGAGAGGCCCGCGACCACAAAAAAAAAAAAAAAAAAAAGGGGGGGGGGGAGGAGTCAAGATGGCGGTGTGGGAAGATGCAGAGTTCGCATCTCCCCATAACTAGGGTGCCTGCTGGACACTGATGGGGGACCCCAATGCCCAAGGAGATGGGAAGAACCCCCAAGCGAACCAGTAGAGCGTGGGGGAACTGAGGGGGGAGGAGAAGTGGAGGCTGGACAGGACCGACGCCTGAAGGGTGGCTGAGAGTGGGGGAGGGGTTCCCATACCTGAGGGGACCCTCAGGGGCTTGGATCGGGGGGAGCAGGCCCAGCATTTCCCCTGCCCAATCCACCGGGGAAGTCGGCCAGCTCTCAGGCCGGGTCCTACGCCCTCAGAGGTCCCCTCCGGGCTGGGTTAGTCCTGGGGGCATAGAAGGGAATCCAGGAGAACAAGAGAGGCAGGCAGGAGGGGCCCTCCAGGACCGGAGGAGTGGGAGAAGAGTGGAGGGCGTTTGCTCCACCCACTGGGGCCCTAAGCTCCCAGGTCGATCTCCCACTCTCCAAAGCTCACTCCAGGCTGCGTGGGCCCTGGGGGCATAGGAGGGAGTCCAGGGAGATCAGGAGAGGCAGATAGGTGGGACACTTCAGGATGGAAGGAGCAGGAGAGGAGCGGAGGGCGTTTGCCCCACCCACTAAGGCCCAGGGAGCCTGCTAAGTTCCCAAGCAGATCCCCACCCTCCAAAGCCCACTACAGGCTGAGTGGGTCCTGGGGACATAGGAGGGAGGCCAGGAGGCTTGCAGGAGGGGCTCTCCAGGACAGGAGGAGCAGGAGATGAATGGAGGGCGTTTGCCCCGCCCACTCGAGCCCAGGAAGCCTGCTGGGCTCCCAGGTGGGGTTGCCCACCCTCTGACGCCAGAGGCCACTTCTGGTCTGGGCATGGGTCACTTCTGTTCTGTTGAGCCTAAGCCCCCCCCCACCCCCCACCCCCACCTTTTCCAGCCCTGTGAGT